AATTCGTTTCTCTCCCGCGAAAGTAAGCGGCGTTCGCGCGTTATTCGCTATCTCGTTAAAGTACGCTCGGTGTATTTTCGTCGGAATGCTAAATTTATGGCCGGCGATTCTCCGTTGGCAAGCACGACGGCGCGCTGCAATCTCGGCGAGATCTTTCGCCGAAAGGATCGGCTCACGGCGGCAGCGGCGGCGGCGGCGACTGCTGCCGATTATCGACGCGGAATTTGCGCGGACGCAGATGTAGATTTATCACCGCATCCGCAGAATTGTTGCCGTGTGCAAAACGCGGGCGGAGGAGAGGGGCGCGTCATTCCTCCTCTCCTCGCCGTAGACGCGAGTAAAGTTGCGGCTGCTCGTGCGCAACGAGTTTGCGCGCTGCGCAGATTTTACGGCGAAATCTTGCCTCCGCCGGCCGCCGAAAGGAACGTGATGTAAGACGGGAGAGCGAAGCGGCAGTGTTTCCAGCGGAAATCAGTGAATATCCACTGATTACCGGCGAAATACTCCTTTCACTCATTCAAATCCGCAGTGTTTTCACGGGTTTGCTGCGGAAGAGCGAGCGCGCGCGCGCGCGCGCGCGAGGAACTTTCCTATTCGCGATTCTCCCACGAAACATCCGGAGGGAATGAACATCGATATTTAGACCGATCGTTGTTGGACCAGCTGCGGCTGTTGCCTTTATTTCCTCCCATTCGACTTGAATCCCCGAGAATTATCTCTCGAGAGCCTTTCTGAATTTCATCTCAGGCCGATCGATTCGGTCGATTGTGGACGGATGAATTTGATCTCGATTTCTCGTCCCAGAACCGATTTCCAGCCGTTTAATCTTAGTTTGGTTCTCCCGGATTTCCCTCAACTGCAGAGAGAACTCGACATGTTCGGCGAGCAACAGAAAGAAAGTCGCCGCATTGTCGCGAGGTGTTTCAAGGATGGGGATGACCGACGAGAATCGGCCCGCAATGAAACACAAATGTTTACGCGAATGCGAGGCTTATTTGTCTCGCGTGTTTTCTATCCGCTATCAACGAGCGCTCGTCCGCTCGAAAGTTTCGCCATCAGCAGCCGTTCCCGAGGGATGGACACCCTCAAATGGACACCGCTCGAGAGAGTCACTCTCGATTCCAATGTCCACCTTACGCCCGCGAACGGCCCGCGGCGGGACGCGCCCGTCGCCCTGGGATTTGTTCCCAAATTGTAAAACTCCAAAGTGTAAGTTAAATTTTTAAGCGGACGCCGCACGCGTCCGCGAAACGACACGGCGCAGCGCGGCTGATTCCCCGGATCGCCTCGATTATTTCGAGCAAACGGAGGAGAGCTCGCGCCTCGATCCAATTCGAGCGTTAGCGTTAGCGTTCGCGTCCGTTAGCTTCGCCGGAAAATGCGCCGTAGCGCATTACGCGCGGCGGATAAATAACGCGGCATCGCTGATAACGCTGTTTGTTGAATGTCCAATTGCGCGCGCGTCCTCGCGATTTAATCGCGTCCACCTTCCCTCCTTTCCGTCCCACCAACGACTTCTGCCCGCTGCGCGCGTTCGTCTTGCCGGAAGAGAGGCAATAACGCTCGCGAAGAACAGCTCTCTCGCCCGGCCGCTAATGTTACGGTTATGGCCCGGTTGCGTTAATCGAGTCGCGCGATCGACACCGGGGCGACGCCCCGCTCTCGCTATGTACCGGGTGGGCCGCGCTGGAATTTGCCGAAGATGGAAACTCTCCTCCACGAGCCCCTGTCGAATTAACCGCCGAATAACGGCCGAGAATCGTAGTGACTTAATTGAGAGCCGAAAGTTTAACCCACGAGCTGCCGAGGGGACATTCTCTATCGCGCCGGCACACCCTGTATATATATATATATATATATATGTGTGTGTATGTGTGTACGTGTATATATGTATATATAGCATATTATATGCACCGTGCATATTATCCCGGCAAAGTGGGCCACGGTTAAACTTTGCCTTCGATGGGAATACGCGGCGTGGCAGGACCGCGATCGGCGATCGCGGCGGCTGCAAAATTGGAAAAAGTGCCGATCAAACAAAATTAATTGGGTTTCCCGCGGCGGGCTGCAACAAAGCAACTCTCTCCGCTTGGCGAGAGTGCGAGCGAGCGGAACGATTCTGGAGTACTTGCTCTCAGTCGCGAATAATTTCGGGCGGGAAGTTCGAGGTGGAGCCGCGCGGCGCGATATCGTTTTTGTAATTCTATCGTCGGATAAAAGATCGTGTTTGATTAGAAAGTACAGCGCGATGGTGTACACATGTGCGGTCTATTCCGTCGAAACACACACACACACACGTATGTACACGAATATGTACGTGTGTTTGTATACATATGTAGCACATAGGCGAGGACGTACCGGCCGCGCGAGGTGCGGATTTCGGGCAGGGGGCGTGCAAATGGAAATACAGCGGAAATTCTGGTATAACGGAGGAAGACCGCGATCGAGCTGGCGGAAAATGTTTTCTTTTCGACAACGTGACCGGACCTCGGGGAGATTCCGCCGTTTCAATTATTTTCCCACTGTCGGCTCGCGGAGATAACACGGCGGCGCGATAATCTTGTTATGTACAACCGAACGATCTCTCTCTTTCTCTCTCTCTCTCTCTCTCTCTCTCTCTCTCTCTCTCTCTCTCTCTCTCGCGCGCGCGCGCTTCGAAAACGCCGGATAATCTGTTTCCTCAACTTTACGGAAGATACAGACAAGGGGGAGGAAGGACGCTGGGAATCGATTTTTTCTCTGAGGCATTCTTGGAAATTCTTTCGTACGTTCCACGCAAAATTCGCGTGCAACGCGCAGAATTCTTCCCGCACTTCCAGTTTGCTACTTTTTGTGCTCTGTATATATATACATATATATATATATATCACAAGACGTGTACGCGAGTATGATGTAAATTTGAGTGCAAGAGTTACGCGGGTAAATGTTTATTTCGATTGCACTTACATTTCGACTTGTGTTACACATAGTAATATTCGCTATTTGTTGTATTAACGCAGCAAGAAATTTGCCAAATATATATTTGTCAAGAGCAAATTTACAGTGTACTCGAGTTACACATTGCATTTCACATAACATCGTCTTGAGTAAATTTCGTATTTCTACTTCGTCATTCGACGTGATAAATATGAGCCGTGTGAAGCACTCACGAAGGATACATAAAGCTTTACATATAACATCATAAGCAAGTATAAAATTACTGCCGAATTCATATACATCCATATATCTAGCTAGAAAATCTAAGATCTCGACCATATTTAACCCTTCGACTGACACGCTGAATTTCGTTTGAAAGTGCTTAAACTGACAAAAAATGAAATTTCAAAAATTAAACGTTATTAATTATATAAAATTTCAAAAATTATATAAAATACACAAAATTTTTCAAAAATTTATATTGATGAATAACCTATATAAGTTATGTGTGTACATGTAGAACTTCGTTTTGAACATCTGCATTAGTTTAAAGACTCGCCATTTCAAATTATTTTTAAAATTCATCATTGGAAAAAATGATCTCAAGAAACCTAAATTCAAAGTTCCTTTTGTGAAACTTTTATACTCTTTTACAAAATTTAGATTGACAATATTCCGCCAATTTGAATTTTGAAGCCCATCATTAAAAGAGAGAGGACGACCCCGGAAACCTTAGAATTTAAAAAATATTCAAGTACCAGAAATATCACAGACATACACACACACACACACACACACACACACACACACACACACACACACACACACACAACACACAAAACGCAGTACTGCACTTCCGCCAGTTTGAGGCTCTTCTAGCGAACGCAATATTGCGTTTCCGCTAGTCAAGGGATTAAACCCAACCGTTAACCTCATCTAATGTCAATCTGAATAACTTTTATCCAACATTGAGTCGGCAAACTGCTTTATAAATACAGCAAACTCTCAGCAAACTTATTTCTGACGTAAATACGCCTCGGCAACTATTCCATAAATATTTCACGTCCTCGGAGGATACACCCCAGGACATTAATAATTGCTACTCGCTTACTCGCTCGCTCACTCACGAAATACCGTTTCAATTCTACCCCTCCACCCATCAGCCGCTTTTTGCAAGACGAGGGGCCGCGCAAATTTTCGGCGGCGGCGGCGGGTTTGTTAACGATCACACGAGGAGGAGGCCGCCGCGACGCGCGCTTATAACTCGCGCATCGCCCCTGTACAATTGACCGGGAAGCTTTTTCGCGCAGAGGTCATCCCAGAGACGGCAACCGCCGTCCCCTTGATACCTCCCCCCTTCCCTTCTCCCGACCCCAGTCGGTTCGTTCATTCGTTCGTTCGTTCGTTCGTTCGTTCGTTCGTTCGTTCGTTCGTTCGTTCGTTCGTTCGTTCGTTCGTTCGTTCGTTCGTTCGTCCGTTCGCTCGCCTCGGGGCTGCTCGCTTGCAGTTTCTATTTAACATTTAGTCATACGCTCGCGCGCGTGTACTAGCCGTTAGCGCATTCGTCGTAATCCCACCACTACATGCGCACGAAAACACGCTCGGGCAGACAGTAAAGGTGTGTTCGATACGTGTATAATACATAGGAGAGCGCGAGCGCGCGGTGCCGACGCGGATCGCCCGTTCTTCGATCTCAAAGCCACCCCTGCTCCGGTTTCACGGATGGAATTTCAGGAGAAACGTTTTATACGGCGGGCTGACCCCTCCCCCTCCCCTCCCCCCCTCTCTCTCTCTCTCTCTCTCTTTCTCTGTCTCTCTCGTTGGCACGTCGCCTGGAGCGCTTTGTCGGAGGGCAGTTAATTAATAAAAGCTGGAAAGAAGGGAGGGAGAAGGAGGCCGGGGGCGGGTAGGCGAGCAGGCGCGTATACGGGAGCGACGGGGTCGCAGCAGGGCGGTGGTCCGAGGCGACGGGGGGCGAGAGGCGCTCGGCGAGGGCGGGGGGAGTATAAAAGGATGGAATACCGCGCTATATACGTTCCATATCGGCCGGTCTCAGCTCTACTTGCAATTCAAACGAGACTCACGCGTCGTGAACGAGGAACTTGTCGCCATTTTTCTCGATGCACTGGCCCTTGCTGGTGATGATGGAGCCGTTCACGGTCACCAGACCCTGATTCCCCGATTGGAACCACCGGCCGTACCACTCCTCCGGGAACGTGCAGCCTGCAACACAAGAGGAACAAAGAGGCTTAGAAACGTTCGCTGTTGTCTGCGAGCGATGGACGACGCGCGCGTTGATCCCGGAAATGCCGAGGCGTCGCGTTATTGACGAGAATCGTATCTAGAGTGCTTTGCAAGTTGCTATCATAGACGAGCTATCATACCGCGCAGACCTGTCGCAGGTTGCAGGTCTCCGTCGCCATAGTTTAACGAGCACCTCACATCGAAATCGTTTTGCAACCACGAGTGTGTTGCCTTCCTTCTCCTTGCGCTGAGGAAAAAGTATATGATATTTGGAACTGTAATGATATAGTAACTAAATTATAGTCCGAAATATCATATTTATAGTAAGTATTACCATAATATCGGTAATAATTACGATATAGGCATAGTATAACCAATCATATAATATTTTTACTAAGAATTGTAGTAAGTTTTAGCTAAACTAATTTTATTGTATGGATACAAATATAAAATGGTAGGTAAAAGTAGCTCGTTTTTATATAGTCAATATTACCAGAATATTTGCTAAATGATGACAGATGTAACTATACGAATATTAAATCTCACTATATTTGTGAATGAGAAATTACCATATATGTGGTATAAAAGTAACTAAACGATTATTTAAGACAACCACTGACTATATATTAGTGTTTACTCTACTATATTTCGCAGGTTCCACGAACTATAAAGATATGGTTGACGCCGCAAGCAACTATAAAATATAGTGAGATTATACGTGGTTAATTCAATTATTCTATATTTTTCTATCAGCGTGAGCGTCAAGGAGTGCTCCTTTCGGCGGAAACAGACTGCATCTTTTGTCCTCGCGGTAAAACTAAAGCACGACTTGACGTCGAAGAGAAGAGGGCGACAAAGCCCGCCCGACGCGGCACCTGTTCAGCCGCAAGGAACAGGCCTGCGGGTGGTGTCGCGCGCGCGCGAACGTAAATGCAAGGACAACGCGCGAGCGGCCGAGCCGAGAAGCCCGGAAACGTCAGTTGCAAAACAAGCGGCCCGCCGCCGCCGGTCGTCGTTCGATTGCGTCGTGGGCCGCGATATTTTTCAGCCAGCGGATCGCCAGCCGGCGGCGGGCTTGTTCGCGTCAGGGCTACCGGCTGCGACGCTGCAGCCAGATGGAACGTAATGAAACAATTGTAACCGGCGTTTCTCGTTGGGCGGTAGGATTATTTTCTCGTTTCCCGACCGCGCGAGAACCACCCTCCCTCGTAGCTGGTCTTCAGCGAAGAAAACACGCTATATCAGCAGCGGCGGCGCCCGCCCCCTGCGCGGAATTTCTCTGGATTTTTCCGGATACACGGCATACATTACAAATAGAATGCACGAATTGGTCACAGGATCGGTTATCCGATCACGATACCAATTGGGAATCCTATTTTTGCCCCGGGCAATTTTACGGTATCGCTCGATTTTCACAGGTTCCGCGATTAAGCGACTGCGCGGGGCTCGCGCTTTTCGACGGCTCGCAGCGTTGCGAACGAAAATAGCGGCTCGTAGTGTTCTAGCGGGACGAAAGTTAAGACAAGAATAACATTCTGACGCAAAATGGAAACAAGACTCTGGCAACGTTTCGCTTCTCCTTCGAGAGTAGTAGTCGCGTATTCGAAATGTTACATTCCTGATACTTTTCACCCGGATCCTCGTGAATTTCCCAATCGGTACTCATTAGTTTTTGCCAGAGGAAATCGGAATAGACCCTAATTATATTCTGGAACACATTTTTCACGGAGAAACTGGAATTCGTCTGGATTTTGGGAAATCGAACTCGGGATCCCGAAGAGATCCCAAGAAATTTCCTACGCGAGCTCTCTCTCTCCCGCTCTCTTTTTCCTCTTGTTGGACGTCCATGCCGCATTTATAGACGGATTATAGGCGGACGGGGCTCAGGAACGAGTGGAAAACGCGGGATGTTTCGCTTCGAGTCTCACCGAGTCCGACGTTTTTTGAAAAACTAAAATACTCTTGCCGACGTTCGATCCCCTCTCCGTGAGAGATCTGCCGAAGTGGCTCGTTTTTCTAATTAATTCTAATTAATAATTCTAATTAATGTTCAAATAATCGGAACGAGTTCTCTCGCTCCGGTCACCGGCGGCGCTTCGCTCCGCGTGGAAAAGTCCTTTCCCTCCGAGCTCTGCCCCCTCACCGCCACCCCCCCCCCTCGCCGTGCCGTCCTTCCTTTCCAGCCTCCGTGGCGCGACTGGCGTCTTTCCCGCCTGGTTGTCCGTGGGCCGCGAGCGTAAATCCGAGATTCCGCGAATATTTCGAATACCCGTCGGCAACGGAGCCCGCCGCCGCGAGCTCAAACGAAGTTGTAAAAATGGAGAATCTCCTTAGAGAGATCGGATTACCGTGAAAGCACAGGCGGCCGCCGATTCTCTCCTCTTCGTCACGAGAGATCGTTCATCCCCGTCGATCCCCTCTTCCTCCCGCCTTCTTTCTTTCTCTTTCTCTCTCTCTCTCTCTCTCTCTCTCTCTCTCTCTCTCTCTCTCTCTCTCTCTCTTTCTCTATCTATTTCCCCCTCCCCCTCGGCGTCTGCATCTTTAGCAACGAGGATTACAACGAGAAGCGACGTCGCGATTAAGCATTGTTTGCCGGAAGCATTTTGCATTTAATAAGTCCAAGTGTTTCGGAATCCCGGATGAGCGGGGAATCGTCGGAGGGTAGACGCGAAGGATTCGGGAGGGAGAGGGGTAGGACGAGAGTGGGAAGGATGACGAGGAATCTCGCGAATTCGCTATAAGAAGATACAGATACCTGTTCCCGCGACTGCGTTTCGAAGTTGCGAAAGGGAGCCGATGGAAACGACGGCAGATGGGATTTATTAATATTCGAGAGAAAGAGAGAGAGAGAGAGAGAGAGAGAGAGAGAGGGATAGACAGAGCGAGAGGGTGAGGGTAAGAGTGAGAATAAGAGAGGGAGGGGGAGAGAGAGAGAGAGAGAGAGAAAGAGAAGGAAAGAGTTCGTCTCGCGCTCTTTGTGCCAACGCGCCGATGTGAACGGCTCATCCCGCTCCGCTCATCTCGCCGTCGGAAAGCGGATTTGGTTCCGGACACGTTCGGCCATTATCGCGGCTCTCTTAATTTTCAGCGCGCTCGCGATGCGACAATTGAGACGCGCGCGTGCGAGCGCAACGAGCACCCCCGGTACCGGCGTCTGATGGCGGGCTGCGCCCGCCGTTGCACGTAGCTGCCATACCGATCGCGCGATTACGATTTCCGGTGTGTATCGCGACGCGCGTCCAAAGTCGCTCGCGGAACCTTTGATCTCGCTGTCGATTGTAGTCGACTCTTCATTAGCGATAATTAAATCTGAGAACTACTCTTCCTCCTTCCTTCCCTCCTTCCCTCCCTCTCTCTCTCTCTCTCTCTCTCCCCCTCCCTCCCTCTCTTTCTCTTTGGCATCTCGCTAATTTACGACGGCTGGAGAGAAGCTCGTTTGCAATTTTTAGTCGCCGGGGTAGCTTCTTCGGCGAGAACCACCCCGTCGCGGTCATTGCAGCTCGTTTCGCGTACACGTCCCAATCGGCTATGGACGACTTCCGCCGGATGTTCTCTTCATTACAATAATGATGATACACGCGATTGGTACATGTTTTCTTGGCGCGTCGTTGATATTAAGATATAATTTCCGAGAGGGTTGCTAAGGCGCAAATTGGCGCTTCTTCTTCGCAATGAGAGATGTGCCGGAGATTTTCCTCGGTAAACCTCGTGTACTCGCATGTTAGACTCGCGCTCATTCTTGCACCTATCTCGCACGATAAGATCGCCCGACGAAATTATTCGTCCGTGCGGCGAGAATTCTTGATTCCTGCCCCGAGAAATGTAGAAGATTCGCTTATTCGCTTCGCCGGAAACTTCCCTCGCTCGCGTCCTCCCCAAACTCACTATGCGAACTATGAAAGTTATCGCCACCAATGCGTGCGAGATACCGCGGTCCTTCCTCCGGGATTCTCGCAGGGGTTACGCGACGAGAGGGCTGGATGAAGAAAGAACGAAAGAGCAATCCGGAGAGAGGCAGAAGGGCAGGCCAGAGGAAAGAGAGAGAGAGAGAGAGAGAGAGAGCGAGACAGAGAGAGAGAGAGAGAGAGAGAGGAGGAGAGAGAAACAGAGAGGGAGGGGGGGAGAGAGAGAGAAAGACAGAGGTGAATGCGTTTTACAGAAAGAAGGAGGAAGTAGGTAGCCACGGTATAATTAGCGGAAATTGGAGTTAGGTCAGAAAGCAAAGTTATCGGGGAGAGTTTCGTCGGCGGCGCACGGCAACCAGCCATTCTGTGCTCGCGCGAGCGCAGGCTGGCTTTTTCCGGGGCAGCCGCTGATATAATTACTAATTAATTACCATTTCTCCCTCCCTCTCCGCCGCTCTCGCTCCCCCTCCCCGCCCCCTCCAGCCCTCCCTCCCTCCCTCTCTCTCTCTCTCTCTCTCTCTCTCTCTCTCTCTCTCTCCCTCTCTCTCTCTCTCTATCTCGCAGCCGCGTCGCCGTCCTTTCGGCGAGCGAGCTCAGGACACTGTACGCGCGGACGAGAAAACGCTGCTCTATAATCCTCGCTGTATCGGGCATGAGAGGCGATAACACTTCTATATCGAGGACTCGTCGAGAGCGTCCTTTATTATAAGCGGCTCGTCATCGAGCCGCCCCTCGGCCGCTCTCATGATCCCGCGTGTACTTTGAAAGCTGGACGTCACGTCCTCTCTGTATCTGGGAGAATCCTAGGAAATTTCCGCGCGAGACGCCACGTCGATAGAGAGCGCCGCGCTCCGTGAGCCTCGAGCTTCCTCAGGTCCGTTTATTTTCGGCGAGGAACACCCTCGTCTCGCGCGTGAACACTTTCGCCCGCCGATAACTCATCCGAGCCGGAAACACTGCGAATACAACTTGTATACCTCGGAATCTTACGAGTCCGCGGGGAATACTGTATTGCGCGACTCGCGGGACAATTCTTTACACCGATGTCTCTCTCTCTCTCTCTCTCTCTCTCTC